TGGCCAAGGAACATCTCTGTAAAATTTCAGCCTTTTACCTTGCGCCGTTCCCGAAAACGCCTTCTTGCCAAAAAACTTTCACGACCCCGTACATGAATCACGTGGACGTGAGCGTCCATTTTGAAATAGGGGCTCGCACGTATGTGTAGATTACATTGCCAAAGTTTTAGCATTGTAACTTTTGTAGATATCGAGTTGAAAACTCAATAGAGAGAGAGAGACACACACACATACATACAGACAGACAACCCTTCGACAATATGCGTTTTTGCTTTGCATAGATGCAAAAAACGCATAAAAATGGAGTCTACTGCTAGAAAATAAGGCAAAACCCATTCCGCCTCTTTGGGGTGTGAAAGCACTGGAAGTAGTTCGAGCGACAGCAGATGTCAACAGCAACCACCCATTTGCCAGACTGTCGGTAGCTCCCACTTTCTAGAACTGCCTAAGTCTCAGCTTCCTAGCATGCGCCAGTACCATTTTACCACTGAAAAGAATGATCGAACCGTAGGAGGAGATGAATGTTATTTTGGCAGGATTCGATCTATGCTAGTCAGCACAATGCAACTTTACTTACCACTATGTAATGTAAGACGCGTAATTCTAAAATTATAATATTTTGTTTTTCACTTTTTTAGCCTGTGACTCAAGAACGCAGTCGCATTCTTGCGTGTTTATAATCGTCGTCTATTTTTGTCCTTCCCTTTTTTCATACCTATAAAAACCTTTTTGTTCTCCATTTATCTTCTTTCTTACCTCTTTTTAACCCCCTACTCCATTCCCTTTTCCCTTATCATCCCCTATTATCATCCTTTTCCCTACATCTCAAAATTCCTCCAAATACCACCACGTCATCACACGGGCGAGACCTAGCTCCCTTTATAAGGATGATTCCTTTCCTCGAGACCTCAGTTTCCTCGAACCGCTTTAACAACTTCGGTCACCACCTCTTCAGCGACATCTTCCGCCGACCCAATTTACAATTGTCATTGGGATCCGGACCTCTTCGTTTCGAAGCCAAGAATATTCGGCCTCTCGGAAGCCCCTGCTAAATCTCCTGCCCAGCAAGCCTACCTGTTCGTCAGAGCCCAAGCGTCGCGCTCTGTGTTATTGCTTTTCTTGTCTGCACTGCAACAAGAAAGACATAAAGGTTTTCATTTTTCCAGTTAGTCCTTTAGCCGACGCAACATGCCACACATACGTGAATCCCCATTCCACAAAAATTTTTAGTGTAATGACTAGTCGATATAGGAAGACTTGCATTTTTGGCAGAAGACTAAGCAGTGAATGGTGGGTGAAAATTAGCAAAAAACCAGATGAATGTAAAAACCTTTTCGACTTTTTTGTGCAAATTGGAGATAGCAATTCGCGCAGCCAGAATCGC